GCACGTGCTACGAGTTTTCTTAATACGTCGTTTTTACGAAATGAGTTAAAAAAAACAGTGTTCTCAAGATTTTCGGCCTGCCTTCAAAGCCGAAGGGTTTTCATCCGCACAGAACCCGTTGGCACCGTTGCATTTTTACTCGCCAAGCTCGCGGTTCATCCACGATAAGCCGAGCTGTAAACGTGATTTTTAGAGCATGTAAATTCAAGTTAGCAGACAAAACAATATATTAAGCATATGGTATTAAAAATTCACAGATAATAAGCATGTAGGTGTAAAACTAACCGGTTAAACGTGATATACGAAAATAAATTTGTATTAAATTCAAGTTAGCACAGAAAAGAATATATTATTAAGCATAAGACATATAAGCATTTATAACGGAAATAAAAATTCATTTAAAAAATATAAATTAGTATTAATAATAATAATTTTATAATATAATTTTATAAATATAATATAATTAGTATTAATAATATAATTTCTTATAAACTGGAAATCAAACCAGGGAACTTGTAAATTCTTTGAAAGATCATGAGAAAAAAGATTTTTTTCAATGTGTTAGAAAGTACTTTTCCTCAGCCTGTGATTACATTGTAAGGAAGTTTCCTTGGCAAAATTGAAGTTCTTTAAATGCTGAAGTGGCAAATTTGAAACAAATTGAAAATTCATCTTTTGAAAAGATTCGTTTTTTATTGATAAATTTCCATTTTTTGTTAACAATTAAAGAAAATGAATGACATAATGGTGCTTTAGATTAACTACAGAACCAATTTTCTGCTGCACAGTTTGAAGACTTTGCCAGTTCTGGAGAAGATAGACTTGATGTCCTCGTTGGTACCTTAAAAGAATAAAAAGAGCTGATGGAACACCAAAATATGATAGACTAGCAAGAGTTTTATGTGCTATTCTCATAATTCCACACAGTAATGCCGAGTGCGAGAGAGTCTTCAGTGTTGTGAAGAAAAACAAAACTGTTTCGTTCTTCAATTTCACCAAAAACTCTAGAAAACATTTTAATTGCTAAATGTTATGAGGAAACTAATTGTTATGACAGGAAATTTTCCAAAGAATTTTTTGCTAAAGCCAAAAAATGCACTCCAAATTCATTGCAATAATTTTTTTGTGTAACATTAAGTTCTTGTTTTATGTTTCCTAATAAATTTTTTAGTTACTACTTAATTGAGATTTACTAATGTAAGTACAATTTTCTTTTTTCTATTTGTATCAATTGTTATTATTTTAATATCAAAGCATGATATTAATTCTTCGTGTTCTTCTGAATTTTGGAGAAATCTTCTGAATTTTTGTCTTTAGAGGTTGGCAGGTATGCTATTGCCTAATGGATAAAATGTTGGCTTCTGGAGTAAAGGATTGTGGATTTAAATATCACCAAGGGTGGTGTTGTAATCAAGTTGCTGTTTTTAAAAAAAGATTTTGCAAAAAAAAAAAAAAAAAAAAAAAATTATCACTACTTCCAGAGTAGCACAGATGCCTCTTCAGTTTCCTGAAGGTGAAGTCTGAATAGTGCAGAGGTAACAAACTCAATAGAATTTTCAACTGGTACTAGGGGCTTGTATTGCAGGTTCAGGCCTTGCTTTTCCCACCTTTCAAGATGGTGTGAATAGACCAGTTTTATCTATCGCAACTTTTTTTTTTCATAGGAAGCTTGCATTTATTTTTCATTGAGTACAAATACAATTCACAAGATGATCTAATTCTGCTTCAGCTTATGCAAGACTAGGAAAAGCCATACTGGTATTAGTATAAAGTTGTTGTTTTACTAATTAAAAAAATACAGTGAGTTCTTAATGTTGAACGAGGAGTGACAAGTAAATCATTTGTGTAAAAAAAATTAAGAAAACTATTTTTTATACATAAAGGAAGCCTGCTATTCTCTATCTGATTTTTATGGAGTACCTCTAGGCAATTTAATGGCTTCATTTTTGTTTTTCTGAACATGCATGACCAGTTTTCAGACAATTTATACATGAATTTATAGCCAGAGGATTGATCTTGATGATAATCTTTCATTAATTTAAAGAACTCTTGCATAAGCATTAGCAAATTTACTAATTATGGAATTCAACTTTTAACATGGACAGAGTTGCCAACTCTCCTGATTTTCGACGGCTATCCTGCCAACCCAATTTACAATATATTTCTCCCGACTTTTTCTTATTCTTAAAATTTCTCCTGATTTTAATGGAACTTGGCTTAATACTTCGTTATATGAACAACAAGAAAGTGATTTTTGACGTCTGAAAGCAATTGAATTTTGTCTAGATTATATCTAAAACAAAACCTTGCGAATCAGATGAGAATTTCTGCTTTGTGAGTGAGAGCATACGTATCCAGAAGCGTAGTTCTCCAATGGGCATCGAGCTCCACTGCATATCATCTGGCATATATTAGCCAATGAGCATAAAGTAAGCTCAAGCCTGTTATTTGGATGTTCTTTAATTATTTTGTTCATCTTGTCCTGAGTAGTGTGAGTACACGTACCTTCGGGAAATAGTTTTAGAAATTATCATCTTTTGTTATGTCTGTGAGAAAGGTGAAATACTTGTGTACGTTTCAAAAAACATAAACTGTTGACTTTGCTTCCATTATTTCCTGAAGGAAATATAATAAATTTGCGATGAGTACCGTCTCTCATTGCGATTTTCCGATTTCGCAGGGTGGATGGGCAGATGTTGTCAAACGTGCGTACGCAAAAACACAAGGACAACATGAGTTGTTTTGAAAAAAACGAAAAATTAAATTTTTCTTTGGAAACAAAGGACCAAAAAGTTATTAATGCAGAATGTCTGTTCTCTGCCTTTTTACTGGAGTGCAACGTGCCACTAAATGCATCGGATCACGCTGCAGCTTTATTTAGAAAAATGTTTCCCGATAGTGAAATCGCTAAGAAATACTCAAGTGCAAGGATCCAAACAGGTGCAGTTGTTAAGAAATGGGTTTGAAAAATAAATCTTCAGTTATTGATTGCATTAAAACATCTCCATTCTGCCTCTCTACGGATGGAAGCAGTAATACCGATTCCAAACTGTATCCAATTGTTGTTTCTTTTTTAATCCAGAGTCTTCAGAAATTGAGTGCAGTTTACTTTCTGTCCTCACTTTAGAAGGACATTCGACAGGCTTTAATATAGCACAGCTAATTGTTAAAACTTTAAAAGAAAATGCAGTCCCTCTGGGTAATTGCTTAGCTCTTGATGCCGATAATGCACCAGTAATGGTAGGTTTGACTGGTGTTGCAGGCATCTTAAGAAAGGAAAATTCAGATTTATTTATGTTGCCACTGGTAAATATTGCAGTCGCAAATTTTCAGTTTACAATTAGAAAACTTGGATGAAGTTATAAAATCAGCTAGGATTGACACCCAGTGGAGTTTAATTGGAAAACTGAAAGGTGATGATGGAATTTTAAAATATAGTAAACTCTCTAGAACTATGTTGGCCATCTTGACAGTTCCCCATAGTAATGCAGAGTGTGAGAGGATTTTCAGTGTTGTTGCGAAAACAAGGACTAAATTTAGGTCTAATATTAGTGATGACACATTAAAAAAACTTTTATTAGCGAAAGCAGGCCTACGTGGCAATAGCTATGAACAAAATTATGAAGTTTCTTTCTTAATGACAGCAAAATCTCAAACTGTTCATAGCATTTGTACAAAAACTGATTAAAGTGTCTCTCTCTTTTTTTTTTTTTTTTTTTTTTCCTTTCTTAAACGATGCAAGTAATAAAATGTTTTTTACGTGTAAGGTATTTTTGTGTTGCTTGCATTTAAGAATTAGTAACTATTTATAGTTAATTCATTATTAAAAACTATATTTTTGTCATTTAAAAAGTCTTTTCAACATTGTGAAAAATCTCCTGAGTTTTGAGTGTCCTAGGTTGGCAAGTATGTATAGAAAAAAAGTATTATACAAAATGCAGTTACTTCAATGAGTTTTAGATAAAAAAGTGACTTTATAAAACAAAACTGTAGATAGTGGCTCTTCATTAATATATAAGTGACTAATTTAAATAATTACGTTTCCTAAGGTAAAAAATATGTAAATTTATGTTGTGTATTAACTTAAAAATAACTGCTTCCTATTTTCAGTGTAATATTTGGTTTAGTAATGCTATAAATCTTACATATATTTAAACAAAGTATACTTTTTATTGCATTAATTAAACCAATTATATTAAGGGAAGTTTATAGATCATGCGAAACATTTTATGGTATTCTGCCCCATGAAAAATTCATTCTCTAAAATTGAAGTATGCAATTACGAATTTTTAATAATCTTTCAACCAAATTCATAAAGTAAATTAGATATATGGTTGTTGTATTATATTTTATAAGAAGTAAAATGCTAACAATGGTGTATTTTATTTTATTATATATTAAATTACTCTTTGTTTTATATCACGCATTGGGGTGGGGATATTGAAATTCAACATCAGGTATGTTCTGTATCTTGAATTTGGGGAAACTGATTATTAAACTAGAAAAGCATATCATAACAGTGTAACTTTAAACAGTTTAGTTATTAAGCTGAAATATAAATGCAAAGATCAGATTGTCATTTTCTTAATCATATTTTATATTTATTTATTTTTCATTTTTATTTTTAATGATAAACTCTTTGATGTGCTAACAGTGATCTCAGATTTTCATTTTAATTGCTTTTACAATTCTGTAACTGTGTTTTCTTCAACAGTTATTGTTTTTTACATAATAATCCAAAAGTAACTGCAGAGAAAAATTTATATTTTTATATATGAAGAAGATGGTATCTAGATACTTTAGGGGGTAATAATTAATTTTTTTTCTTTCTGTAAAAAAAATTTATAAGTGTTTATACATGAAAGGTGTCATTATATTTTGTTCTAAATATAAATCAGAAAATCCTACCACATTTTATTTTTCACTGTCTGATTATTATTTGATATCTTGCACGTAAATTTTACTTGTAATATGTTGCAATTTTTATAATTTCACTCTAGATCCTAGTGAAGAAGATCTATGGGGACAAAAACTCTAGGCATAGGAAGAGAAAATGGAAATTAAAGCATTTAGATATAGAAGCTGCTAGTGAAACTAGCAGCATAGAGAGGTTTGTATTTTATTTAAACCTTTGCATTGTTAAATTTAATTTAAAGCATCATGTTTATTTTTTAAAAAATAGCATTCATGTGTGTTTCAGTATTTTAAAACAAATATTAAGTTGTATTGCTTTTAGTTATTTAAGTAAGCCATTTTTATTAATGAAATTATCATGAGGTTAAATAATAAAAATCTGATCTGCATTGTTATAAAAATATCAATACTGTTTTTGTTAAAATTATACCTATGTGATAAATCATATTAATGAAGTTGTATGCTAACCTTATAGAGATAAAGAAAATTTGAATTAAACTGAATCTTTATAAATGCATTTAAGTCTACACAAACATATAATAGAAGATTTTGCCTAAATCTCAGCATAATCAAAAAAGTCTTTTGACAGTTGCAACTCAGCTGATTGATGCATCAGTCAACTGATGCTGGTAATGATTGACCAAAACAAAGATGTAGTGATACTACTTAAGTGTCACTTTTCCAAAACTTTACTTTGGCATTATGTTAATCATAGATTAGAGCTCTGTCAGAAATCATAAACTAAAGCATCCTATCACAAGTTAAACTGTGTCTTTAGTCTTCTAAAAATAAGAGAGAATTAAAGTGCCATGCAGAACACATCAACACTGAAATTTTTAGAACTGGCATGATTTTAAATGGGTTTATGCTGTTTCATGAAGTTTTGAAGTTTTAGTTGCCTTTTTTAAAAGTGTCAGAAGTAGGTAAGAATTGAGACAGAACTGAGCAAAACTTGCCCATACTACAAAAAATCATCAATATCAGCTTCATGTTAGACCTTAGTGTGATGTATATGTTCTCCAAGAATGAGCAGAACTTCAGAATTAAGAGTATTGATACCATAGTTTAGTCTGCTCATGGAAAAATAACTAATCAAATTAAATTATTTGATGAAAGCAAGACAAGCATGGGACTTTATTGCATGAAAACCGTAAAAAATATTTGGAGTTAAAAAAAGAGTTTCTCTTAAATATGAGACGAAACATCAACAGGGGAATTGATAAAATGTTATGTTAATCTTAATGTCTGGATATACATCTGACTTTTAGCTAAATTACACAGTGTCCAAAGTGCTGGATCATAAAATTTGGCCAAATAATCCTCATTCAACCTTGGTTGAAACAAAAATAATGAATATATCTGACAGATTTTAATCTCCCCGTAGACAAATCGAAACAGGTTTTTAAGAGTATCTTTGGGGAAAAAAGATTCAATCCTGTCTTATTCTTCTTTTATGTGTTAAATGTTCTGATGTCAACAGGTGAGTGTTAACTTGCCTTCTCACTGATGAATTCAATAGTGACTCTTAAGTGAAATGCGTGTATGTTTGTAAATTCATGGTTTTTGAAAGGGCATTATCTGGTGACTGATACCAAAAACAAGCTTGAGGAATTGGGAAGATGTTAGTGAACGTGACCTCATACCCATTCTGGAAGTTATTGTGAACTGTCTAATATGAGGAATAATGCATATTCTTGAAGGGAAATAGTTATCCATTGACTGTTTATTTTTTCCCAGTTTAAAAAATAAAATGTTTATTTTCTGGAGTTGCATTAAGAATATACATCAACTTTTTTGGGGGGGAGGACTGAAATGCTTGTATGTATATGCAGTGCTTTTATGTGTATGTGTTTCATTCAGTGAAACACCAAAAAAATTAATCATATTGATAGTTCTTGATTAATGTAAATAGTACTATATCTAAGAATGCCCTGTAATTGTATATATTTTTCTTTTCAATTTTAGGGACTATGTTGATTTCCTTGAAGATCTGGAAGAAGATGTTGAATACAGACAGAATGTGAACATATATAAAGGTATAGTTGTTTTATATTTCTCTAATACCAGTATAAAATGTATTTTAGAATGCGTTTGAATGGCAGCCCATGTTAATGTTGACAGTTTATGTTCTGCACATATTTTTCATATTGGCGGAATTATCAAAATTCATCAATTATGTTATGGATTTCAGAAATAAATCTCGCAAGTTTTATGTGAAAGTCAAAATATCATGTTGCTCGTTTATAGAGTTTGAAAAAGTTGCATGCTATAAAGACATATTTTGATTAATTAACTAAAAATTGAAATAAAGATACATATAAAAACAAATGAGATGTGCATTTCAAGGTAATTCTTACACTTATAATACTCTCTGGATCATTAATTACATGCATCACAGTGGAGTTTTAATTTTTTATTTTTGCATTCCCCTATGTTTTCATAACTATTACATGTAAATATTTTTCCCCCTGGGGTGGAAGTAATTAAATATTTATGTACTTGAATAATATCAAAAATTCGTCTGGTTTCTGGTTTGATGTGCAATAAATATGGTGTCCTTTAAAAATTTTAAATATATTAATTTTGAGTGACTAAAAGTGAATTCTAAATACTTAGACAATTAGTTGCAATCAGATGAAATTTTTAGTAATTTTTTTGATATATTATATTCTTCATTTGCATAACAAAATGTATTTAATAGATTAATGAATTAATGTAAGAAAATAGTGTTATGAGAGTAAAATTATATCAATCAGTGCATTACATTTTGCTTTGGAAAAAATTGGAAATTTTGAAAACCTATAAGTATTGCTTGAAGAAACATTAAATTACTCCTCATTCAAAGATAAATTCAAAGCACCACATGCTGAAAGTCTGCTGGCAAATATTCAAGTTCATAACTGTCCATGCAAGTCATGTCAAGTCAGGTTGAGAAATTGGGGGGGGGGGGGGGGAATATGAGAGTTTAAAAGAAATTTCTCTTTAAAATGAAAGATATTTTTGAGAATGAAGGTTAATGATTTTGAATGAGGGTAAATTCAATAATTAATAATTATTAAATAGCTTATCTCAAATTTTTATAGACATAATTACCATTAACATTTGACTACTGACACAATAAATAAGGGCAGAAAGTCATTCAAAAATGTGTCTAAGTAATAATAATTTAATATTTATTTGTTAGAATGAAAAAGCAAAGTTGAGAATTAATAGCTTATCAGAATTAAAGTTTTTTGCCAGAAATTGTAAATCATCATATTCATCAGCTTTTAGGGATTTCTTATTTTGTCATAAGTTGATATACAAAATCATGTCTGCTTAATATGATGCTATATATATTGTTTGATGGAAGAAGTGTAAAACATCTGAAACTTCAAGCCCTCTTCATGTCCAATTTCCTGTGTGATAATTCAGCATTCATAAGGAGACATTATTGCCCACTTTGACAAATACAGGCTTGAAGGTTTAGTACACAATATAGAAAATATAGTGTAAATCCATTCCTCAAGATTATCAGAAAATTAGTACGATATTTTGATTATATGTTTGTTGTTTTCAGTGCATAAATTTTGTGAAAATAAATTATCTAATGTAAAATTTAATTTTAATTATTGTAGAGTTCGAGAATTTCATTTACTTTTTATTTACTAGGAGAATTAAAGCTGCTAATTTTTCATTTATGTATTCTTTGTTTATAGATCCTACAAAATTAGCTGTAGATTCTACTGAAATAAATGATGATGTTCCACAAATCACGTTACAAGATATGCTAGATGATTTGACTTTAGATGCAGACACAACTGGAGAAGAAGGAGGGCTAATGCTTCAATAAAAACTCTTTATTATGAAATTCTCTGTCTTAGTTTGCATTCTAAACAGCACCTTCCTATAATATCAATATCTCTTTTTTGTCACCTAGCTTAAATTGATAAGGTCAGAAATTTATTCTTTTATTTATAAATAATTTCAGTATATTTGCATCACTACCAAATCTTCTAGTTTTTCATCACATCTTCCAATAGGTCATCAAAATTCTTTTTTTTAATTTTTAGCTTTGATGGAGGAAAAGCTTTGCCAGTAGTAAATGAAATTTATTTAAATTGTACAAATTCCATTCCCCCATCCCTAATGATTTTCAGCATTATTTTTATGTTAAATTTTATTTGCTCTGAATTACCATAAGTCTATTGTAGATATTTGTAAAATATTTATTAAGATTCAACCAATTTTAATATTCATATTTAATTTTCAGTATATAATACATTAAGTATATCCTCACAATAGTACATACATTAATTATAAATTTCATTTTCATTGTATTTAAAAGTATTTTGATAAATATTAATATACTTTACATCATAATCATATCATGAATAATTCACTACTTGAATCACGTGTGAATAATTTAAAGTATGGGATAATTGTGAAACAGTGCCATCATCACTGTCTAAACACCTTCTGGAAATTAAGACACAATAGCACGCGAACAAATACTATTTCAGAAGTCAAACAACAAAAATCAGCATTATATTTTCAAATTTTCACAGGACTAGTTTCGATGGTTTTACCGAACCACATCATCAGCTGCAAAAATGCTAAAAATATGAGCCTGGCGGTTTCAGAACCCAAGGTAAGTTTGGACCAAGTGGGGAATTGGAAGCTCCCAAATTTGGGGTATCGGTAGAAGTCACAGTTTGCCTTTTGATAACGAATTCCATTTAGGTATCAGTAACGGTGCAATGGGGCCAGTCCACTGAATTCTGTGTATTCCCTGCTGTGCAGAGCTGGCTGCATAGTACTAGCAGGAGCATTTTGATGACCAGTCAAATCTTCAGGCTAATAGAGCCATGTCTCATGGTGGTCTGTGATCGCCAAGTGGGTGATCCCAGTTGAACAGTTCAGCCATGGGTTTGACAGTTCTTTTTAGAGTTGTAAACCTGTTAGTGTGGGATGGATGCAGCAAAGTGAATTTCTTATATTCTCATTGGTGGCGAGTTTACCTGACACTCACCTTTTGCCTAGTATGGATGTCCTAGGTTTAATAAATTCAATACAGCACAAATTTTTTAATCCGGACTCGTCGGGTCTTTGGCAATTCCGTATTATAAATCATAAATTAAAATTTGGTAAGATGGCATGCAGAAATTATACAATTAAAAATATGAAATCATAAATTAGGAAATAAAGAACAATTATGATCTAAAGGGTAACAAAATTTACAAAATAAAAAAGCTTAATATTTATTTGTTTACTTTATTAAACATTTCTTTCAATGTAAGTTGTTTAAGACGCTTCCACAAAAAGTTCCTTTTTCTTGTGCCATATATAGTGGACTTTCCAATGCCATACTTCTCACATAATTTTAAGACAGATAGACCTTTATCCATTTTTTGCAGCAATTCCACTTTTTGTTTAATGGACATCGAAACATGCTTTCGCTTTGTAGATCCTTTGGCAGCTCCAGAATTGGAAATTCTTTTTGACATAATCGAAAGTTCAAGCTTAATTTTTATAAAATTGTTCTAACGGTCTGCAAAAAGTAATAAGCCGGATCCAGTTAGAAGATTAAGGAGCAGCGCAATCTGCAACATTAACTGAAATGCCTTAGATAATTTTAGGCTAGCTTATACCGTCCGTTATACATTACGTGTGCATGTGTAAGCGCATATGTGCTTATGCCTGCGCATAAAGTTTGTAGCTTTGAGGTCTGGATTATAGATCATTCCGGATTACAGACTTTGTACTGTATACACTACCTGACACTGATGCAACACCAGAAAGTGATGAATCTCGGCAAACAGAGACAGACAGTCTGTTATAAGTTAAGACTGACATTATGTTAATAAGTTAAATTTATTTCTAAATAATATGCATTATACATTATATATAGAGCGAGAACAGCATCGTCTCAGTAGGTTGCAGACCACCTTGGACAGAGATACACAAAGCATCATGTCTAGGTACAGAATCAGTGAGACTATGAATGGTGTCCTGAGGAATGGCTGTCCATTGCCTGTCAACCATTTGCCACAGTTCGTTTTCTGAATGTGGCAATGGCAGTGTCTGCAATGATATCCAATCTTATCGTAAATGTGTTCGATTGGTGAGAGATCAGGAGAGTGGTGGCCAGGGAAGCATCTGTATAGCTTGCAGAGTATGTTGGCTGAGCGAGTAGTGTGTGGTCAGGCTTTATTCTTCTGAAAAGGCACTGAGCACTCCCTGAAGGTAGGCAAGTGTCGCTGGCTGCAGCACATCATCCATAGGTTGTTGGGCTGTCATAGTGCCCTGAATACAAACTAGAGATGACCCGAAATCGTAAGCAACTATGCCCCAAACTATGATGCTGTGGTAGAGCAACCACAATTGCTGCCGGATTGGACTTGTCTCCACATTCATACGCAGCAACTATCATTGGAGAAACAGAAGCGTTACTCATCTGAGAACACAACTCTGTGCATTCCATCATCCACATTGCTCGAGCATGGCACCATTGCAGGCGTTGGCGTCTGTGATGTGAGTTCAGTGGCAATCTTAATGGATGCCACAAGTGCAGGCCACTAGCCATGAATCGATGGCAAATGGTTATAGTCGATATGGAAATATCCAGGGTGTTTTGAACATGCTGCAGAAAGGAGGTAAAAGTAACTTACAAGTGTGCCACTGCTTGTCCGTGGATACGTTGATCCATGCGTATTGACGTCACTCTGGCTAGACTGGCATCTCTCAAACTTGCCACATTTCTTTGTTAAAGCCATTGTCATTACAGTGCACTGTGGGCACGCCCAGGTGTGTCAGCTGAAAACAAACTGCCCTTCTCAATCCGATCACCATGCCCCCCCCTGGTAAAATCGTTTGTGTGCTGGAGTTGCCTTCCATGGTCAACATTCTGGCATTCTGCTATTACACACATCCTCTGAGACAAAAGCAAATTTTCTACATTGATTTCCGTAGCAGAAATAATGACGCAAAAATTGAACATTCTGCCAATGCCTTCCCTTATGTCTTCTTCAATATGTGCTGGAGAGCTCTGTAATTATCATTTGCATAACTCTGCAACATGGGCCACTCCGCGACATTTTCAATGTCGCGAAGTGTATTCTTAGCTGTGTTCATAGATGTTCTTACCACCTTCGGGAAGCTTAAATTTCATTAATTTATTCCGAATCTACTAGGACATTTAATTTTTTTCTGACACTAGTAATAACGAAAATTTCATTTTTTCTGGATTTATTTTCAAGAATTACTGTTGTAATCATTTTCAATTAAGTAAAGGTACATTTCAAATGTAAACACCTGATCTCTCTTGCACATGGCAACCATAATTCCGCGAAAGGGCATATTCTTAAGAAAGAAAATGAAGTCCATCAGTCATGTGTGTTTAACCTTACGGATTATGAGGAGTAATTTATGATTAAGTAAACAAGCATTGCTGTTAATAGTGGGTAAAATTAATATATTCTACAAAATGATGGTGGTTGATTTATCAAAAGACCAAATGGCTTTCCCATTTCAAATGGAACAATGCCTATTTTCTATTTTTAATAACTATCTAATGTTTTAGTTATTTAATGTTCGAATATTTCCTAGGGTCTGTAGAAGAACAAATTAGCTAATTTGGATAAACAAACGAAGAACATTCTTCCTCTATGTTGCCTGTGATGTCACTGAAGTACTCTCTCCTCAGAATAGCATAGGCTTCTCCATTGATTTAAGCTGAAAGTAATTTTTTACGCATCCATGAAAAATAACTTGTCATTTTTCTATAGCAAAAAAATGTTAAAATTTATTATAGCATAATGTTTGGTACGCATTGTGCGATAGTATTATGCATCAATAATGTAAGAACCAAAATAAAAAACATCCACCAAAGCATATCACTTTACATGTAAAACTCTATAATGTATATTGATTTGATTTAATGTTTAAATAGCAGTTTTACAACTAGATTTTGAATCTTCAAGTTAAATGAATTTCGCAGGTGTTGAATTCATTAATATATGTAAAAACATTCAATCGTATTTAAATTTCAATGGTAGAGAGGCAAAATTGAATTTGAAAACTTAAGTTATGAGAATAACTTAGTATATGTTATGTAACTTAGTATAGAATAACGCATAATGACGAATTATAATCATGTTTATTTTTCATGAACTGATTTATGTTTCTTCTCACCAAGAATATTTAAATTATCATATATCAGATCCACATATCTGCCTTATTTAATTTTAGGCAAACTTTACTTAAATATTTTAATTACTTCTCAAAACACGGAACCACTCAAGTTATTGAAAATTTCATTTTTATCCATATCAGTTAATTAAATACCATATTACATTATATGCAACACATAAAACATATACAGTCAAAAGTCTTTAATCCGGACTCGTCGAGACTTCGGCGATTCCGGATTATAGATCATCAGTTTAAATCTGGTAAGATGGCATGCAGAAATTATAAAATTAAAAATATGAAACCATAATTTATGAAACAAAGAGCAATTATGATCTAAAGAGTATCAAAATTTACAAAAAAAAAAAAAAAACTTAATATTTATTTGTTTTCTTTATTAAACATTTCTTTCAAAGCGCGCATGCGTAAAGCATACATTACGCATAGTCGCAATTAGAAAATTGCAACCAGAAAACTATTTGCTGTGTATTCGTGATATTTATAATGACCAAAGACGGAGTACATCAAGATCAAATACTGCATTTAGTAAGGAATTATAAGCCAAATAAAATAAAAAATCTGCCCTTAAGATAAGGATAGTGCTGACAGATCAACTTCCAGTTCATTGCACCCCGCGTCGTTTCCCCCCCTCCAAGAGCAGCGTGAAATTGATAAACATAT